AAGTTTTAAAAAATGTTTTTAATGAGATAAAATTCATATAACATAAAATTCACCATTTTAAACCATTTTACAGTATACAATTAATTGGTTTTTAGTATATTCACAATGTTGTGCAACCAGCACCACTATCTAATTTCAGAAAATATCTATCACTCCAAAGAGATACCACATACCTCTCAATTCCCTTCTTCCTCTATCCCTTGGCAACCACTAAACTACCTTCTTTATGGATGTGACTGTTCTGGACATTTCATCCAAATGAAATCATACAATATATGGCTCTTTGTGTCTGGCTTCTTTCACTTAGCATAATATATTCAAGGTTCATCCATGCTGAAGCATGCAGGATTACTTTATTTTATGAACGAATAATATTACATTGCATGGTATATTAGTTACTTAACCTGCTATAACAAATACCACAGACTGGACGGCTTAAGTAACAGAAATTTCTTTTTCTTTTTTTTTTTTTAAGATTTTATTTATTTATTTGACAGAGAGAGACACAGCGAGAGAAGAAACACTTCTTACAGTTCTGGAGGCTAGAAGTCCGAGATCAAGGTGCTACATGGCTTGTAGGCAGCTGTGTCCTTGCGTGACCCCTCTTCTGTGCATACACAGAAAGGGAGCTCTGATGTCTCTTCCTCTTTTTATAAGGATACCAACTCTATAAGATTAGGGCCCCACCCTTAGGACTTCATTTAACCTCCCTAAAGGTCCCATTTCCAAACAGTCACACTGGAGGTTAAGGGTTCAACATATAAATTCTGAGGAGGACACAATTCAGTCCATAACAGTTAGATATACCAAATTTTGTTTCTCCATTCATAGTTGATGGACATTTGGGTTTCTACTTTGTTTTAATATTTTTAATCTCTATACCCAGTGTGGGGCTTGAACTCACAACACTGAGATCAAGGGTCACATGCTCCACCAATAGAGCCAGCCAGGTGCCCCTGATTCTACTTTTTGACATTTACAAATAATGCTGTTTTGAACATTCATGCACAGGCTTTTGTGTGGATATGGTTTCAGTTCTCTTGGTTATATACCTTTGAATAGAATTGCTGGGTCATAGGGTCATTTTATGTTTAACTTTTTGAGGAACTATCAAACTTTACACAATGACTGCACCACTTTACCTTCCCACCAGCAATGTATGAAGTTTCCAATTTCTCCACACCCTTACCAATACCTGTTACTGTCTTTTTTTTTTTTTTTTAACATAGCCATTCTAGTGGGTATGAAGTGGTATTTCATTGTGATTTTGGTTTTGGTTTATATTTCCCGAAAGAATATGATGTTGAACATCTTCTCCTATGCTTATTGGCTGTGTGTAATCTTTGGAGAAATATCTGTAAGTTGTTTGCCCATTTTTAAATTGGGTTGTTTGTCCCTTTGTTGTTTAATTGTACTTTATATATTGTGGATGCTAGAGTCTTATCAGGTGTATGATTTGCACTTATATTCTCTAATTCTGTAGGTTGTCTTTTCACTTTTTTTATAATATCCTTTGATACAAAAAGTTTTTTTTAATTTTGATAAAATCCAGTTTACTGATTTTTCTGTTGTTGTTTATGGTCTTGGTGTCATATCTAAGAATCCACTGCTAAATCTAAGATCATTAAGATTTACTCCTATGCTTTCCTCTAGGAGTTTTATAGTTTTAGTTCTTAAATGTATGTTTGTGATCCATTTTGAGTTGATATTTTATATGTATTGTGAATAAGGTTCCAAACTCAGTCTTTTCCATGTGGCTATCCAGTTGTTTAAGCACCATTTGTTGAAGAGACTATTCCTCTCCCATTCAGTGGTCTTGGCACCCTTGTTGAAAATCAGTTGGCATAGATGTGTGGGTTTATTTCTGGATTCTTGATCTTATTCTGTTGATCTATATATCACTTCTTATGCTGGTACCACACTGTTTTAGTTACTGTAGCTTTGTATCAAGTTTTAAAATCAGGAAGTGTGAAGTCTCATATTTTGTTCTTTTTTAGTATTATTTTGGAATTCACTCAACCTGTAAATCTATTTGGGGAGTATTGCCATCTTAACAATATTAAGTCTTCCAATCCATAAACACAGGATGACTTTCCAATTCTTTAGGTCTTCTCTATTTTCTTACAATAATGTTTTGTAGTTTTCAGTGTAAAAGTCTTACAGTTTCTTGGTTAAGTTTAATCCTAAGTATTTTATTCTTTTTGATGCTATTATAAATGAACTGTTCCCTTAATTTCATTTTCGATGATTCATTGATAGAGGCTAGAAGAATTTTGAGAAGTATGATACAGAAAGCAAAAATTGTCTTGAATAGACTTTGTAGAAATCTGGATTTGGAGGATGCTGTAGGGGAGGGTTTAGAAGGAAATAAGGAACTTGTTATTAGAAACTGGAAGAAAGGAGGTGCTTGTTATTTAGTGGAAGAAAGCTTAGTGAAATGGTCTTCTGTGGTCAAGTGGAAAGCAGGACTTTTAAGTGATGATTCTGGTTATGTAGCTAAGGAGATTTCCAAAGTGTTGAAGGTGAGGCCTGATTTTTTTTCTTGCTACTTATAATAAAACATGAGATGAGGAAGAGAAAGTGAAGAAAAAATTATTAAATATAAAGAAATCAATACTTGATGATTTTTGAAAATTCTGTATCTCTAGATGACAGAAGAGTTTAATGAAAGAAGGCTGTTGGACCCTCAAACTTCTACTGGCAGGAGGCAGTCTGATAAAACTACTTAGCTGCCCACATGTGCTACATTTTATGAAAAAGGAAGGATGACTTAGAGGGTAAAACCAAGAGCCCAGGGTGCCTGAGTGGCTCAGTCAGTTAAACGTCTGCCTTCGGCTTGGGTCATGATCCTGGAGTCCTGGGATCGAGTCACACGTCAGGCTCCCTGCTTGGTGGGGAGTCTGCTTTTCCCTCTGCCCTCACCCCGCTCTCATGCTCTCTTGCATGCGTGCTCTCTCTCTCAAATAAATAGGTAAAATCTTAAAACAAACAAACAAACAACAACAACAAAAACCAAGAGCCCAGAGGTTGGACCGGAGAGCTGAGAGGATTATTTCTGGGGTTGGAACTCCCAGTATTTTCCCAACTGGACTTCAGAATTGCTGTGAACCTTTTTTTACCTTCCTTTTCTGCACATACACCCCTTATCTGGAATGTCTGTGATCCTTTCCCTGGTCCACTATTGTATGTTGGGTGTGTTCGGGTAAGGTAACTTTTCTCTAGGAGTGGAATGGCTGGATTATATAGTTAGATGTTTATATACCTGTGTATATAGCCTTTAGTTTCACAGGTCTATAGATGGAAAGGAATTGTGCCCCAGTAACTTTACTTAATGTAGTACATCCAGGGCCTGATTTAGATGATAGTATTTTGGACTTCAGAGCCAATGCTATAATAAGATGAATTTCTTGGAAGCCTTGGGAATTGAATATATTTTGCATGTGGGAGCACATGAGTCATTGAGGGCCAGTGGGAGGATTGTAATGGATAAACTCTAAGGTGGTCCCTCTGTGATTCTTACCTCTTGGTGTTCATACCTTTGTGGAATCTGCTCCCTTTGAGTGTGACTTGCTTCAGACCAACAGATGATGGTAAAAATGATGAGATGTCACTCCCATGAATGTGTTATGTTATATAAGCTTCTGTTTTGCTAGCTGACTAGCTCTCAGTCTTTCTTGCTGGCTTTGAAGAGGAAAGCTGCTGTGACTCCTACAGCTACAAGAAACTAGATGCTTCTAAGAACACACAAAAGGGGAAGTGGATCCTTTCCTAGTTGAACCTCTACATGAGAACCTAGCTGTGGCCAACACCTTATTGCAACTTTGTGAGATCCTAAGTAGAGGACTAGCTAAGCCATACTTGGGACTTCTGACCCACAAATCTGTAAGATAACAACTGTGTGTTGTTTGAAACTGCTAAGTTTGTGATAAATTTTTTTGTGTAACAAAACCAAAACAATTCTTAAAAAGCTAAGTATACATTTAACCATATAATCAGACAATTCCACTCCTAGAAATTTACCTAAGAGAAAAGGAAATGTATGTTCAAAAAATTCTTTAAAAAAATTTTTCTTTTAGATTTTATTTATTTATTTGACAGAGAGAGAGAGACACAGTGAGAGAGGGAAGACAAGCAGGGGGAGTGGGAGAGGGAGAAGCAGGCTTCCCATTGAGCAGGGGGCCCAATGCAGAGCTCGATCCCAGGACCCCGGGATCATGACCTGAACCAAAGGCAGACGCTTAACCAACTGAGCCACCCAGGCGCCCCAAAAAACTTTTAATACAGTAATGTGCAGACCAGCTTTACATGTAATAGTGCCAAACTGAAAACAATCCAAATATCCATGAAAAGGTAAATGGATAAACAAATTATGAAACAATGGAATACTTGCTAGGAATAAACTGCTGACACACAATTACATGGATGAATCTCAAAATTATCATGCTGAATGAAGGAAGATGACAAAAAGTAAATACCATGATTCCATTTATACGAAACTCTAAAAAATAAAAATTAAACTATAGTGACAGAAAGCACATTTGTTGTCACTTGGAGATGGTGGATCAGGCATGGGCAGAAGGGAAGGATTACAAAGGTCATGAACTTTTGGGGGTGATGGATATGTTCATTATATTGACTGTTTTGTGGTTTCATGTTGGTATACATAGGTGAATTTACCAAACTGTACACTTTAAACATGAATGGTTTATTGTATATCAGTTATTCTTAAGTAAAGCAGTTTTGAAAATGTATTTGCCACTTGCACATGTTTTTTCTCACAAAAAATTATATTCAAAGAAAACACAGTCTAGTCATCATAGATTGGGCCTTGTTACTCATCCACACATTCTCAAAATTTTCTCAAAATCTGTTAGTGTCTGTGGGAAATACAAATACGCATCTTTTACACTAATGAAGCATATAATCTGATAAACTAGTTAGTTAGGCTTTGGAAATCATAAACAATTATTTTTTTATATTGTTTTCACAAAGATCCTTACCAGAAGCCAATCCCTCCCAGTGACTACGTGTCAGCTGCTCCATACAGCTCAGAACCTTGCTCCACACATCGTCAAACACGTGAGCAAGGACATCCTCTTTCATGCAGTAAAATGGAGCAATGGGAGGGTACCCTAATTTCTGTTTCTCTGGAGCTGCTTGTAATTTCTTTCCTTGAAACCCCTCTTCCCTGTAACAGAAGCAAATAAGACTTCATGATTATTCTTTACTGAGTGTTCACCACTGTCCTTTGTGCTTCTTAAGGAGTGTGAGTTGTTTGCCCTTCCCCACCACTGGCTCAACATATGTATGTTAGCAGATGTGCTAAGCTGCCTTGTGACCTAAGGGAGTTCTTAACAGAGGAGACTGAATTTCCCTTTTTACTCCCACCTCACCCCACTACTCTGCCAAAAAAGAAAAAAATAATCCAACAAGAAAAGAAGACTGAGACTCATTGTATATTTTTTAGCTTTAAACAGATGAACATTGTCAATTGTGCAATAAGCTATGACAAGCATACAGAAATAATCTTTTTGTTGTAATTGGATACCATTTAGGTTAATATTAACGTAACTAATAATGGGCATATAACTGTGCCACATAAATACTTGAAGCAATGAATCATTAGGGAAATAGTATACTTTTACTAATCCAAATAAACGTTTGGTAATTGGCTGGAAAGGGAAAGGAGGGGAGCCCAACAGCACAAGAAGCTACTCTGAGGCTCTTCTGGAGACCATGTATCTGTCTGTAGGCCAGAAACTCTCAGTTAGCCAAGTCTTCTCTTCTCTGTCAGGGAGTACCAATAGCCCCAGTATTTGGTGGGCAAAACTCTAGCTGACAGGTGTACTTACTATGATAGACAAAGTAAGTAAGACATAAAGTAAGACAAAGCAAATTCTGGAACACTTGAGGTACGAAGAAATATTTTAAAGCCTCTACAGTGAAAATTATCCCTAGGGTAGCAGAGGTCTCAAGAATTAAGTGGGAAGCTGTAAGCAGGAAAGAAGGATGCTCAGATATTTATACAGGGCAACTAAAGTCTTTCTCCTCTTCTCCTTTCCCCAGGAAGAGCTGGCCTGGCATTAAGTGGGGGAGAAGGCTGATTAGTATTAATTGTATTTAAATTTATGTTTCTTTTTATAGGAGATAACACTTTCATATGATGAAAAAAATTCAAATTATACAAAAGGAAATGTATATACGTAGTGAAAAATAAGTTTATATCTCTGTCCCGCAGTTACCATTCCCAGAAGCCAACATTATACTTTGGTCTAGAGAAATAGTTACATTATACACTGTGCTACACCTTAGTCTTTTACTTAACAATGTCACTGGCCCTTGATCCATATTAATACAGATCAATATGCCTCTTAAATAGCTGCAAAGTATTCCATTGGATATACCATAGTATATCTAACTGGCCAGTTACTGACCAACCAACCTTTTGTTTTTATAGTCAGTACTGCATTTAATATCCTTGTACATAGTTCTTTGGTTACATGGCTATTATATCTGTAGGATAAATTCCTATAAACAGAATTATTGAGTAAAAGGGTATATGCATTCCAATTGGAAAGATACTGCCCACTTTCCTCTAAAGAGGTAAAATCTCCAGTGTTGGAAATACATGCTTTTCCCATTCAAGGAATTATCAAACTTCTTTTTTTTTCTCTGCCAGTCTGACAGATAAAATAGTATCTCATTATAATTTTAGTTTGCATCATTAATTGTGAATGAGATTGAATTTTATTTCCTTTACTTAAAATCCATTTTCTTGGGGCACCTGGGTGGCTCAGTCAGTTAAGTGTCTGCCTTCAGCTCAGGTCATGATCCCAGGGTCCTGGGATCGAGCCCCTCATCAGACTCTCTGCTCAGTGAGGAGCCTACCTCTTGCCTCTCCCTCTGCCCCTCCTCCCCGCTCGTGCTCTCTTGTGCACACTCTCTATCTCATTCTCTCAAATAAATAAATAAATAAAATCTTTAAAAATAATAATAAATCCATTTTCTTGGGGCGCCTGGGTGGCTCAGTCCGTTCAGCATCCAACTCTTAGTTTCAGATCAGGTCATGATCTCAAGGTTGTGGGACTGAGACCCATGTAGGGCTCCACACTCAGTGCAGAAGGAATTCTGGTACGTGGAAGCAATAGGAATTTGTATCAACTAAGCATATGAACTCTGGATACCTGAGAAGTAATAGGATATAAATTACCAAGTGACATAAATCTAATTAAAAGGTAATATTGGCAGTATGTTTTTTCTAAAGTATATTGATTTAGGAAAATCAATATACTTTTTCTAAAGTATAGTTCTAAAATATATTGATATTAATAAACAAAATAGGAGGGGAGTAAAAAGCTTGAAAGATACAATACTCACACGTCAGTGTGGTCGAATGCTAAGTATTCCTCTATTATTCCTTCAGAAAAGATTACACAGTCTTCCTCTTCTCTTTCCATAGAATACAAGCTAGGGGATTTGGCAATGGAAGATGCTTTATGAGCATAAGAAGATGAAAAATGTAACTTCTTTCCCCTAATGCCAAATCTGGGAGAAGAAAAAGCAAATATTAATTATGTACAACATCAACAGTTCTTAGAGCAACTCAGTCATACAAGTTTCAGCTCAAAATCCATTGTCTTGCTGACACCTTTCTGAACTACTCTAAGCCTTAATATCTAGTATTTCTCACAACAGGAAGAATAAACACTAATCATAAACCTACTCTCCCTAGGTGTATTATGCAATATTAAATACTGCTTGCTATCTTTTCAGATGCAAAAGCTAAAGCTATAAGATAAGTTTAAAAAAATCTAATAACCAGTCAGAATAGCTAGTATCAAAAAGACAAGAAATAACTAGTGTTGGGGGCTCCTGGGTGGCTCCGTCGGGTAAGCGGCTGCCTTCGGCTCCGGTCATGATCCCGGGGTCCTGGGATCGAGTCCCGCATCTGGCTCTCTGCTCGGCGGGGAGCCTGCTTCTCCCTCTCCCTCTGCCTGCTGCTCCCCCTGCTTGTGCTCTTTCTCTCTCTGACAAATAAATAAAACCTTAAAAAAAAAATAGTGTTGGCAAGGAGGTGGAGAAAAGGGAACCCCCATGCACTGTTGGTGGGAATGCAGCCACTGTGGAAAACAGTACAGAGATTCCTCAAAAAATCGAAATACTACATGACCCAGTAATTCCACCACTATTTACCTGAAGAAAATGAAAACATTAATTTGAAAAGTTAAGTAAGTTGCACTCCTATGTTTACTACGGCATTATTTACAATAGCCAAGATATGAAGCAACCTAAGTATCCACAGATAGATGAACGGATAAAGAAGATGTAGTATATATACACAATGGAATATTACTCAGCCATAAAAAGACTGAAACTTGCCATTTGCTACAACATGGGTGGATCTAGAGGGTATAATGCTAAGTGAAATAAGTCAGACAGGAAAAGACAAATACCATATGATTTCACTTAAATTTGGAATCTAAAAACCAAGACAAATGAACAAACAAAACAGAAACAGACATAAATACAGAGGACAAACTGGTGGTTGCTCAAGGGAATGGGACTGGTCAAAATAGGTAAAAGGTATTAAGAGGTACAGATTGCCAATTATGCAATAAGTCAGTCATGAGGTTGAGAAGTATGGCACAGGGAATGGAGTCAATAATACTGAAATAACTTTGGTGGCAGATAGTAACTACACTTACCGTGGTGAGCCTTTTGTAATGTATGTAATTATCAAATCACTATGTTGTACACCTGAAACTAATATTTTGTATTCAACTCTCCCTCAATTAAAAGTTAATGAAAAAATTAAGAATATTTGTTAAGAATTACAACTTTCAGGTACCTCAGGAGGTTATATGCTTATTTCAGTAACTCCATCATAGGCAAATGCATATTCCTTAAGGGCAGGATTAACTTTGGAGAAAGCCAGTCAAATCTGAGCAATAATTTTTTAAAATGGCTCTGTTTAACCAAATATTAGATTAATTAATTTATTTATTTTAGATTTTATTTATTTGTTCATGAGAGACAGAGGGAGAGAGAGAGAGAGAGAAGCAGAGGGAGAAGCAGACTCCCAAGGAGCAGGGAGCCCGATGCAGGACTCGATCCCAGGACCCTGGGATCATGACCTGAGCCGAAGGCAGACGCTTAACCATCTGAGCCACCCAGGCGCCCAACCAAATATTAGATTTAACCAATGTATATTTTGTATTATTCCTCACACTTTTTTGTATCTTAGGTATTTTTTAATGGAAAAAAAAAGAATAAATCTGTGGCACTTTTCAGCAAGGCTAGTGGGAAAATCTTATTAGAAGACATTTTAGAAATATGAATTAGAAGCTTTAAAATAAATATACCTGTTGATTCATTCATTCAGTGATTTTCTTTGTAGGGATTTCCTTCAAGTATATGACCTACAAGATTTAGCTATAAAAATTATATTATAGAGGGGCACCTGGGTGGCTCAGTTGGTTAAACCACTGCCTTCAGCTCAGGTCATGATCCCAGGGTCCTGGGATCGAGCCCCACATCAGGCTCCCTGCTCATGCAGGAAGCCTGCTTCTCCCTCTGCCTGCTGCTTCCCCTGCTTGTGCTCTTTCCCTCTCTCTCTCTCGCTATCTCTCTCTGTGTGTCAAATAAATAAATAAAATCTTTTAAAAAAATTATATTATAGAATTGTTTACAATTGCCAAATATGAAAACTAGCCCAACTGTTCCAAAATACACGGTTGGGGATTGGTTGTTTAAATAATGGTATATTCATGCAATGGAACACTATGAGATCATTAAATTAATGTGGGAGAAAATGGAAGATGCCCACAATAAAATGGTAAGTATAAAAAGATTACAAATATGTAGTTTTATAAAACTATATACATATGTGGCAGAGAGGGCTAGATGCCCCCCAATATCCATTCTCCCCTTCTTTCCTAGTAAATCATACCAACTTAATTCAGGAGAGCAATACATTCATCTCAAAGACTGCATTTTCCATTACCTTATAGTCAAATGTCACTAATGAGATATGACCAGACTTGTTTTGTGGGATGCTAGGAAGGTTGTTTAAAGAGAAGTGGCTTGGCTGTAGGGAGTGCCCTTTTGCCCTTCTGCCTCTCCTTTCTGCTACCTGAGAAGTGTTTGGAACTCTTACCAGCCATCTTGGACCATGAAGAAGACTTACAGAAAAACATCCTGATTTAGCATGGTGTAGCAAAAAGATGAAAAGAGTCTAAGACCCTGAAAACACCATGCCACCACCATGCTATCTTTAGATACTATTCCTCCAGACTTCTTCTAAAACAGAAATAAACTAGGGGTGCCTGGGTGGCTCAGTTAAGTGTCTTCCTTTGGCTCATGTTGTGATCCTGGGTCCTGGGATTGAGTCCCACATCAGGCTCCCTGATCAGTGTGGAGTCTGCTTCTCCCTCTCCCTCTGCCTTTCCCCCTGCTCCTGCTTGCTCTCTCTGTCTCACTCTCTCTCAAATAAATAAATAAAACCTTTTAAAAAATAAAAATAAAACCAATAAACTTATGTAAGCCATTAAATAAAGTGCACAGTTCATAGGAAGTGGTTGGAAAGGTATGTAGCTAGACTGCAGAAATTTGTGTATTGGGCTAATTGTTAGCAATAAAAAGTAAGGTTTTTTTAAAAAAGATTTTATTTATTTATTTGACAGAGAGAGTTAATGAGAGCAGGAGCACAAGCAAGGGTGTGGGAGAGGGAGAAGCAGTCTTCCCACCGAGCAGGGAGCCCAATGCGGGGCTCGATCCCAGGACCCTGGGACCATGACCTGAGCCGAAGGCAGACACCTAATGACTGAGCCACCCAGGCACCCAAAAGTAAAGTTTTTAAGAAGGGGAATGACAATATCCTTGCTTTAGAAGATTGCTGTAGTGGGGTCCCTGTGTGGCCTAGTTGGTTAAGTGTCTGACTCTTGATTTTGGCTCAGATCATGACCTCAGGGTCATGAGATCTCCTGCATCCGGCTCCACGCTCGGTGAGGAGCCTGCGTAAGATTTTCTCTCTCCCTCTCTCTCTGTCCCTCCCCTCACTCCCAACCCCTGCTCCCTCGCTTGCTCTCTCTTTCTCTCTCTCTAAAAAAGAAAAAGAAGAAGATTGCTGTGGTGGTGAAAAAGACAATGTACATCTGACTCTTGGTTTCGGCTCAGGTCATGGTCTCATGGGTAGTGAGATTGAGCCCCATGTTGAGCTCTGCGCTCAGTGGGGAGTCTGCTTGAATATTCTCTCCCTCTGCCCCTTCCCTGACTTCTGCACGCACACGCATGCACTCTCTCACTCTCTCTCAAATAAATAAATAAATCTTAAAAAGAAAAAAGATAATGTGGTTAGGAGGCTAGTACAAAAGATAAAACAAGAGCAGATGAGCTGATGGGAGTCTGGACCATAGCAGGAGGCACTCTGTATTTGGGGATGGAGAGACAGTAAGAGATGAGAAACAATTTGGAGAACCAACACCTCTAAATCAGCTGGTATTACTGTTTATAAAAGTCTCAAATTTGAGACTTAATGTTTAAGTCTCTGTTCTGAAATTCTAAACAGTGATTCCCAAATCTAGCCAACAGATATATGACAATTCATGACAACATTTTTACTGATCTACACCAAAAGGAGGAAAATAAGAACAATGCCCAGGAAGACTGCCAAATCTCCTTTCTTGAAAAGAATTGTCCTTATTTTGAGATTATGTACTTAATGCTTTTTTTAATGTTATTATGTCTTTTATAAAATAGTGATGTTAATTTGTTTTTGTTTTTACCATAACAAATTAAAAGCTGTCACACCCATGTCAAATGCTGGATACCCAGTATTCCATATGTTATTACACTGTTGTGTCATTCCATTTGTATTATTAACCAATCATTTCTTTAAAGTAACTAATGGAATTTTTTAAAAAATTGAAAGATTTTGTTTTAGAGACAGAGAGCGTGAGCAGAGGGAGTAGCAGAGGGAAAGGGACAAGCAGACTCTGCAGTGAGCATGGAGCTGATGTGGGACTCGATCTCGGGACCCTGAGATCATGACCTGACCTGAAACCAAGAGTTGGATGCTTAACCAACTGAGCCACCCAGGCGCCCCTTGGTTTTGTTTTTAAGTAAACTCTACACCCAACGTGGGGCTTGAAATCACAACCCTCCCCCTGCCCCTGCGATCAAGAGTCACATGCTCTACCAACTGAGCCAGCCAGGCCCCGAAGATTTTTTTTTTTAAGTAATCCCTACATCCAACGTGGGATTGAACATATTTTGCTTAGTAAAAAAATAACAGTGGTTTTGCCTAATCATGTATTGCTCTGGTAGTAATATTTAATTTGAGATGTTTTCTTGTGAGAGGAAAAACATCATGGCACTTTATTCTTCTCCCACATGCATGGAGGATAAAATGACTTTGCTAGGTGTTTTAAACCAAGAGTTTAATTTGGAGCCAGTCCACCCAGGTCTAAGCCTTCATGGAGGTAATCACTGCAAGACCCTCAAAGGTGGTTGAGAGGAACAAGTGGCCAAGAGCTCCTTCCTGACTA